CGCCAGGTGGTCCCCTGAGGGGCCACAGCCCGGCTCCAGCAGGCCGAGGCTTCTGAATGCCCAGCTCCGGGGCTGCCTCCTCGCCTGTCGCCCTCAGCGCCTTCCCTCGGTCCCTTCGCGTCCTGGGGGCTGTGCCGCGGCCCGGGAGGCCCAGAGAACTCTGCAGCCCTCGGGGAGGGAGGTGTTTAGACCCGTGAGCCTTTATCAGTTGATATTTGATTGATGAATTAAAATATCAGTTCAGGTGGTGAACACATTGAAAGGCTCCCCGTCATTGTTTCAGGGTGAAGGCTGTATGGGTAACGATTTCTGACATTTCCTCTCCTCCTTTTGCGTTAATAATTTTTTACAACCAGCACATCTTATTTTACTTTTTTATCTGCGCCCGAGGATATCGTTTCCATTGCTTTTCAGAGAGAATGGAAGGGAGAGAGAAATGGGGGGGGGGGTCAACGTGAGAGAGACACATGGGTTGGTTGCCTCCCTCACTCCCTGACTGGGGCCGGGGATCGAACCCGCAACCGAGATACGTGCCCTTGGCTGGAATTGACCCCAGGACCCATCAGTCCTCAGGCCGACGCTCTAACCACTGAGCCAACTGGCCAGGGCCAGCACATTTTGTTACCGGAAATGATACCCGTTCTAAACCTTAAGCAAAACGTTAGCAGAAGTGGCAGGGGGGTGGGTCAGAATGAAAGTATTTATAGGAATTGTCCGAGGGTTGACCAGGGACAGGGACTGAGAATGAAGGAGGGGCAGGGAGGGCAGGAGACAGACGAGACAAACATCGTCTGAATTACACACTCGGGAATCAAGACAGAGACCGCCTGGGGACGGGCTTCAGGAATACGGGATTGATTTTACGGAAGGATTGTCCCCTGGAATGTTCACCGAATATTTTGCAAACTAACAGCGGTTTTAATTCATGACATTTGCAGTGATATTTGTAGCATAAACTGACTACTCCCTGCAATGCATTAAAAATTTTTTATTTAGTTTATTGATTTGAAAGAGAGAGAAAGGGAGAGGGAGAGAGAGAAATACTGATTTGTTTCCACTTATCTGTGCATCATTGCTTGTACGTGCCCTGACCTGGGATCGAATCCACAACCTTGGCGTATGGGGGTGATCTCTAGCCAACAGAGCTACCTGGCCACGGCTAGCAGCAGTTCTGATTCACGGCATGTGCAGTGATATTTGTAGCACAAGTAGACTGCTCCCTGCAGTGTATTTTAGGCCCCGGAAGCTGTACATGGAACCATTGGTCGTTGCTGACTGCGTTTGCTGTGACTGGTTAAGTTTTATCGGCCCTTTCCTGGGAGAAGCGTGGTGTTTGGCTCGGTGTGGCTCTTTGCAGCCTCCCTGATTTGCCTCGGTAAGCACAAGAAACGGAAAGACACTGGCGTTCGTTTCCCGTGGCCAGTCCTCTTCCCTCTGAACTGAGGGGAAACAAAGCACACTTTCTCCTCGCTTACAATCCTCTCGGGCCGTTAGATATTTTTAGGAACGTCTCTCTGGCTTTGGTCTCGCCGCTCTCGGCGCGGAAGCCTTTCGCCCCTCGGTCAGTCGTGTGTCAGTGGAATCAGACAGGATTTGACCTTCTGTGACTGGCTTATTTCATCCGTGGGACCTGGAGGTCTTGCCTCTCTCGATGGTAAAAAAACATCAAGGAGCAAATATCAGAGATGCAGTAGCCTCAGCGCAGCTGCTGTCTGTGTGGCCGGCCCAGCTGTCGACTTAAATAGCATCTGGATTGCTCTGATGTGGCCTCTCTCGTTTTGTTTTGTTTTGTTTGTTTTTTCCCTCCTCATTGACTGCTCTTGCTCGGGGCTAATAACCAGGCTGCATTCCAGCCAGAGGTCAGCAGCCCCTCACTCAGAGGTCAGGGAGGCCGTCCCCGCCGGCCCCGGGTGTGGGCAGTGTCGTGGCATCCGGCCGGTACCACCTTGAATTAAGACGTTATCTTACGGGATTTGATGGGATCGAGGATGACCATCCTCAGGACAAATGGGCCTGTGAGCACATGGGCAGAACAAAACCCAGGCAGCTGTGATGAAATGCACGAGCCAGGTTCCGACGGGACTTTGGTCCTTGTCCGCTCAGGCTGCTAGAACAGAGCAGCGTAGGCTGGGTGGCTTAGAAACAACACACGTTTATTCCTCGCTGTTCTGGAGGCTGGAAGTCCGAGCTCAAGGAGCTGGCGAGCTCCGTGCCTGGTGACGGCAGCCTCCTGGCTCGTAGGCGGCCAGCTTCCTGCCGTGGCCTCACACGGAGCTGCCTCAGGTCCCTTCTATGAGGGACCCAGTCGTGAGGGCTGCACCCCCTTGACCTAAGCACCTCGCAAGGTCCCCATGTCCTAACACCCTCACCTTGGGCATTAGGGTTTCAACATACGGATTTGGGGGGACACAGACCTTCAGTCCATCACAACTTCCTTTCTACAAGTGTAGAAAAAAAGGTATGATATTGTTATAACTGTCGTCCTCGGCCTGGGGCCCCAGCATCTGCCCGAGGGGCCGGGGAAGGGCATCTCTGCCACCCTCCAGAAATGGCCTGTGGACAGGCCGGGGCCTCCTAGGTGGTGGAGGGCGGGTGGAGGAGGACCTGTGCCCTGTACCCCTCTGTGCGTGTGGGGGCGGGTGGTCTGTGCAGGGCTTGGGGTTTGCGGGCTCGCGGGTGCTGCCCGGCCCTCAGGTGACTGCAGCACGTGGGGGAGGGCAGGTCCAGGCGTGTGGGGACCTCAGCCCTCCCCGGGGCAGCCCAGAGAGGCCGGACGTCGCGGTCCTCCCCTGTAACCCTCCCTCTCCGTGGGCAACGGCAGCGATTCTCCATATAAGGGGTCAGACCGAGTCCCCGTGTGGGCCACATGCGGCGTGGGATGGCCGTGTGGGGCGTCCGCTCGAAATAGATGCATACGACCGGCGGTTTCTCGTGGCTAAACGGGCCCACAGTCATTTCACTGCGGGGTGCGCTGTTAATTTTGGCCCAAGAAACAAAGCCACCAAGTAAACAGAGACTCGCCCGGCCGTCAGCCAGTCCCTAGGTTCAGAAGCCACTTCTGAGGCTGCCCAGAGCCCCGCCCCCCTTCTTCTCCCCAGACGCCCAGCCCTGCCCAGCCTCCTCCCACCCGCACCCCTCACTGCAGGGTCATCGCCGCCCTCGTGGACCTGGCCCAGAACCGCAAGTCCTCCCGACTCCTCGTGACCACAGCCCGGCTGCCCGTCACAGGACACCTCTCCCGGGCCCGAGGCTGCCATCTCCACTTCCTCCGGCCCTTCCCTCTGAATCTACATAAAAGCCCAGAGGATGGAGGACAGTGAGCATGGGGGTGACCGCCGCCCGACTGCACAGAGGTTAACTAGCCGGTCATGCTTGTAGCAGATGCTGCTTTTATTCCTTTCTTTACAAAAGAAAAGCTCTGGTGGCCTCAGTACCCATCCTTTCGAGCCCAGTGCCCCCTGACTTCCCCTACAACCTGGCGTGGCCCCTCATGGGCATGTGGTCCTTGGCAGAGGGGCCGTGGAGGCTCCTGCAACCTCCCTCTGCGTCTGCCCCCCAGGCCCCTGGCCTTTCCTCAGGGCTCGGCTCCCGGTCGCCTTTCTCTTTTCTGTCTGTGATCTCTCATCAGCAGCCCCAGGGACTCCCATGACGTTAGATGTCACCTGCACACTGAGATCCAAACTCGTGCCACCAGCTGTGAGAGGCCCCTGTGCACCTGTATATCCGACAGGCCCCTGGAGCCCGACACCCAGAGCAGAGCGCTCGATTTCCCCCCCAAACCTGGTCCCGAGCTGCCCCACCTCCATAAATTGCACCACCAGCCACTCCGTTCCGCCTGCCAGAAACCCAGGGGTCGTTACTGGGTTTCTCCATTTCCCTTGTTCTCATTGGTCCATGGCCTGCGCCTCCACCCACCCCAAACGCCTCCAGTCTGCGCCCCCCTTCCTCTTCCTCAGGCTGGTGCACGCCTCCAACATCTCTGCCCAAACCAGACCCCGTTCCTCTGCCTGCCTCCCCTTTGTCTCTCTCTTTTTTTTTTTCTTTATATCTTTATTGATTTCAGAGAGAGGAAAGGAGAGGGAGAGAGAGAGAGAGATAGAAACATCAATGACGAGAGAGTCATTGATCGAGCCCGCAACCCGGGCCTGTGCCCTGACCGGGAATCGAACCCCGATCGCCTGGATCCCAGGTCGACGCTCAGCCGCTGAGCCACGCCCGGCCGGGCCCCTTTGTCTCTCTTCGTAAACTCAAGGTGTCCCTGGCTCACCAGTCACTGTGGCCCAAAGTCCCCACAGAGGGTGCCCCACCCACCTCTCCGGCCCCTCCGCCCCCTGGGTGACCTCCGAGGGACAGGCTGTCATAGGCAGGGTCGATTAGAGCTGAGCAGCCTTGGCCATCCACCATTCAGGCCATTTATTCCTCCATGGAGTCATTACTGCCAGGCTCCCGAGAGACACTGGGGATACAGCAGAGAACTGAACAGGCCGCGGCGGTTTTTGTGGGAGGAGAGAAGGGGGGAGAGAGTGTGTGGTGTCGCTTTTTGAAGGCCCCCGGGGAAGGTTCTGAATTATAGTCATTCCTCTTATTCAAAAAGAAGCCGAGTGACCAGCTGACCCTGAGGTCTCCCCAGAAAGGCTCGGCTTGGGTGGGGCTCACAGGTTCTTCCAGGAGCATGGAAACCTGGCTCGGAGCGTCTCTGCAGGGCTGAGACTGGGGCCGGGGCTCTCTGAGAAACAAAGCGTCATCGGTCCTTGCCACCACCTATTGGGGAGGGTCTCTGTGACAATGGGTTGTCGCCGCCACCCTTCAAGGGGGTGGCATCCGTGGACACGAGGCAGCCCCAGGTCAGCACAGCTGCCCAGGCGGATGGGGGGGGTCTACTCAGATGTTCTGGGCAGACTTCCTGCACATGGCATGTGAATTTTACAAAAGTAAAAGGGTAAACTCTGATAATGGCTTGGGATAGACCTGGGTCTAATTTCCACCTCTTTCTCTTCCAGGGACAGAAAGCTTGGATAGAGAAAACCTTCTGCAAACGGGAATGTAGCTTCGTCATTCCCAGCACTAAAGACCCCAACAGGTAAACGGGAAGCCGCGATTAAGGCGTTATCCAGTCCCGTGCTTGTCTACCGGTTGCCAGCAACTATTCCCTAGTGTCTGTGGGAGGGCGAACAGGAGCCGGAAAGGATGGCCAGAATCCACTCCCCACAGGAGTCATTGGCCAGGGAGTCACTTGGACTATTAAGTTCCCAGGTTAAGATGCAAATAGGCTCGAGAAAGAGCTACAATCCGCCTCTCACCCTAATGTGAACTGTCACACCCAGGTAGCCCCACAGAGTTTCTCTTAGTCTTTTTTTTAAAATAAGTTTTTATTGGCAGAGAGAGGAAGGGAGAAGAAGAGAGATATAAAAACAGTGATGAGAGAGTCATGGATCGGCTGCCTCCTGCAAGCCCGCAACTGGGGATCAAGCCCACAACCTGGGCATGCGCCCTGATTGGGAATCGAACCGAGATCTCCTGGTTCCTGGGTTAATGCTCAACCGCTGAGCCACGCTGGCCAAGCTCATCTTAGAGGGCTTTAGACATGTGTCCAGGGGAGCTCGGTTAGGGTTTCATGTTATTTGGATGCAAAGGAACTTCCATCACAGGGAAGATCTGAGTGGGGGAAGTGAACTAGATGTAACTTGATAGACATACAGGCCAATGAAATAAAACTGAGGGTCCAGAACTAAACCCATACATCTAGGGCCAATGGTTTTTTCAGCAAGGTTGCCAAAACCAGTGGGGAAAGAACCGTCTCTTCATCAAGTAGAGCTGAAACAAGTGGAGGTCAAAGAATGGATTAGACCCCTACCTCACACCATGTATAACAATGAACTCAGAGTGGATCCAAGACCTAAGTGTAAGAGCTACAACTATAAAACTCTTAGGTGAAAACATAGCAAATCTTCACGGCCTTGCACGTGGCCAAGGAGTCTTAGATCTGACACCAAAATCATGAGCGGCAAAATAAATACACTTTCAACGTTACTTGTGCAGAGAAATGTTTTATGAGGCAACAGAAAAATTCAGTGACACTAAAAAATCCTGGAAGGGATTGTAGTTTGTCACAGAATGTTCAGTAATTGGTGCCCATATTGACACGGTCAAGACATCGGAAAGGGTTAAAATATGTCCAGTAAGACTTGGGGTGGTGAACGCACAATATACAGATGATGTATCATAGAATCGTACACCTGAAACCTATACAATTTTATTAACCAGTGTCACCCCAATAAAAAAGTTTCTCCAGTAAGGAAGGGTGACCATCCAATGGGCTTATAATAGACTGGAAACAGACACGCATTGATTATCTGGAAAAGGCCATGATAAAGGGGCATTTCTGCCCCAATAAAGCGGATAAGCAAGGTGTTAGCCTGCCCTGTTCGGGTGCTCCTCCCATGTTAAGGGAAAAATTGTGAAAGACTTTGTCTTGCCTTTGTTTTCAGGTGTTGCTGTGGCCAGCTCACCAACCAGCACATTCCCCCTCTGCCCAGTGTGACATCGGCCAAAAACGGGGAGGAAAACCAAGAGCCAGAGACTCAGCCTGAGAAATGGTCTGTTGGCAAACACACCCAGAGCTACCCAACAGATTCCTATGGGACTCTCGAGTTCCAGGGAGGTGGATACTGCAATAAAGCCATGGTAAGACAGGCCTAAGGCAGGGCCGTCACTGAGCCCACGGCCCCCGTCGGAGGCCCAGCCTCCCAGACCCCCACCCTTAGGCACCTGGGTCTTCTTTCAGGGGCGTGGCTCCATTTTCCTAGATATTTCATGGCAAAGACAAGAGATCTATTTGCATGCTCAGCATTTTAGCCATGAGATTTTAAAAATATGTATTCATTTGTTTATTTATTTGAGGGAAAGGGAGAGAGAAACAGCAATGTGAGAGTAGAAACATCAATTGGTTGCCTCCTGCACACTCCCCGACCAGGGACCGAACCCACAACCTAGGTATGTGCCCTGACCTGGAATCGAACCCTCATTTGGTGTCCAGGGCAATGCTCCAACCGACTGAGCCACACTGGCCAGGGCTTTTGTTCCACTTATTTATGCATCACTGGTTGATTGTTTTATGCACCCTGACCAGGGATCGAACCCACAACCTTGACCTAGGGGGCGATGCTCTAACTAACTGAGCTACCCGGCCATGGCTTAGCCGTGAGATTTAGAGACTGGGCGCAATTATAAAGGACAGATAGCGTCCCTTAAATCCGCACCAGAGTTGTGAATCCACCGATCACGCTTTAGCCCAGCCCTGCAAACGTATTCATCATCCCGTCTCCAGGGACAAGAGGAAATTACGTTATTTGCTTTCGGGGTTGTCTGGGTTTTGTTTTGTTTTGTTTTGTTTCATAACTGTGGACCTTCAACCCTCCTGAAATGGGTTAGGAGTGTCTGGAAGTATTTCCCTCTGAAGTCTGTCCACAGCCTCCCTGGCCTGCATTCAGTTGGCCAAGAAGACCGAGAACTTTCCCATTTGCATGTGAACAGGGTGGGGGGGGCCTCTGCCTCTCTGATGAGCCGGCCAGAGAGGGGAGGCCTAACGCTGTGATCCCTTTCAGCTAACTCTGAGTAACGCTCCCACGTGCCCAGTCGGGCCATTTTCGCGATTTCATTTTATTTCGTTGGCCCGACATTCTTGTTCAAGTACAGTTCAGTGTGTTCCAAATACCACAGCATAGGGGCTCCGGAATGGCACCCGACACACTGGCATGGACACAAAGAAGCGTTCATCGGGGCCAACGCCGTTAACCTCTTCTTGACCTTGGGGGGAAGGTCGAGTCCGAAGGTGGCCCATGATCCCCTTACCATCACCCGCTTAGTGCGGCCACTGGGCCGCTCCCTCAGCAACATCCTGTCCACCCTCTAGGGCCCCGGTTCTAGCTGAGCCAGCTTTGGAGTCGAATCCTTCAAGGTTAGGGTTGCCAGGCAAAATACAGACACCAGTTATAGCCGAATCTGAGATCGACAACGGATACTTTTTTTTAGTATGAGTATGTTTGTTCCAAATCTTGTATGAGGCATGCTGATCCTAAAACATTTTTTGGTTGTTCATATAAAATTCAAATTGAACTGGGCGTCCTGTAGTTTACTTGCTACATCTGGCAACCTTCCCAAAGCTTCCTTCTGTCCCTTGGCCACAGGCTCATGTAGAGGCCGCAGACCCTGAGGGGGAGAAAGCCAGACAGCTCCTGCCTGGACAGGAGCTATAGCCCCGTTCCCCTGTAACATGACGCCCGGCATCCCACACTCTCTTGCAGTATATTCGTGTGTCCTATGACACTAAGCCGGATTCGCTGCTGCATCTCATGGTGAAAGACTGGCAGCTGGAGCTCCCCAAGCTCCTCATATCTGTGCATGGAGGCCTCCAGAACTTTGAGATGCAGCCCAAGCTGAAGCAGGTCTTTGGGAAAGGCCTGATCAAGGCCGCCATGACCACGAGCGCCTGGATCTTCACTGGAGGCATCAGCACCGGTAAGAGCAGCGCCTCTCGCTTTCGAAACCAAAACAAAATGTATTGCATCCCTATGTAGCTTGCTTTCTATTTTCGTGTGACTGTGATCGTGATCAGTGCATCGGGCACCCACTCTACATGGTTAGAGCGTCGGCCCGTGGACCGAAGGGTCCCGGGTTTGATTCCAGCCAAGGGCCATGTACCCCGGTTGTAGGCTCGGTTCCCAGCTCTGGTCAGACAGAGTGCGGGAGGCAACCAATCCATGTGTCTCTCTCACATCAATGTTTCTCTCTCAAGGCCCCGTCCAGGCCTTGTTTTCAATGAGGCTCTCTACAAGCCTTTCTCCAGCTTAGGGGAGAGGAAACCGAGGCACAGAGAGGTTGAGGAGCATGCCAGGCGTCTGGCTGGTAACTTTTGTTTGTTTAAAATCCTCACCTGAGGATATTTTTTCCATTGCTTTTCAGAAAGAGTGGAAGGGAGGGAGAGGAGAGAGAGAGAGAAACATTGATGTGAGAGAAACACATGGATTGGTTGCCTCCCGCACTCTCTCTGACCAGAGCCGGGAACCGAGCCTACAACCGAGGTACATGGCCCTTGGCTGGAATCAAACCCGGGACCCTTCCGTCCGTGGGCCGACGCTCTAACCACTGAGCCACACCGGCCAGGGCTAGCTGTCAGCTTTAGCTGAAAGCCACCAGGAACAGCCAAAGAGACCCCGGCGATTTCCACCCTTGGGAACCTGTGAAGGAAATCTCTTCGTAGTCAGTTTGCTTTTTGTTTTCCGCTTACCTTTTTGAGAGCCCCTGCAGGATGACTAGCTGTTACGAGCTCAGACTTCCGGCGTACTTTCTCCTAATGATGAAGATCGTTACAGCTCCCCCCTGTTCCCTAGGGAATAGAGTGACTCAGAGACGGGGTCCCTACAGTTCACAAATAGGGATATGATGGGAGGGTAACAGTCTAAAATGTGACTCATGGCTGCTCACAGGTGTCATCACCCACGTCGGCGATGCCTTGAGAGACCACTCCTCCAAGTCCAGAGGCCGGGTCTGTGCTATCGGCATCGCTCCCTGGGGCATCGTGGAAAATAAGGAAGACCTGATTGGGAAGGACGTAAGTGTCTTCTCCCGGACACTGGCACTTTTAAAAATCAAAGTCTTTATTTTGAGATAATTGTAGATTCGCCCACAGTTGTAAGAAATAAGAAAGAGAGGTCCAGTGAACCCTTTCCCCTCCCCGAGATGGCGACATCTTGCAAAACTATGGCCCGATATCACAACCTGGATCTTGACATTGAAACAGTCAAGATACGGCGTCCTGGATGCATCACCCCTCGGACCTCCCCCATGTTGCCCTTGGACATCACGTCTAATTCCCTACCACCCCCTGGTAACCACTGATCTGCCCTCATCTATAATTTTATCATTTCAAGAACGTTTTCAGATGGGACCACACAGTACGTAGCCTCTGAGTACTGGCTTTCACTCCACAGTAATGCTCTGGAGAGCCAGTTGTTTGTGGACCAGCAGCCTGGTCCTTTTCATGGCTGAATAATATTCCCTGGCATGGTTGAGCCACCATCTGTTGAACCGCTGACCTGATGGAGCGCATCTGGGTGGCTTCCTGTTGGCTGTTACAAATAAATCTGCTGTAAACGTTTATGTGTGGGATTTCGTGTTAACATAAGTTTTCTTTTTAAGATTTTTTAATGATTTTTAGAGAGCGAGGAAGAGAGAAACATTGATGTGAAAGTGAAACATCGATAGAATGCCTCCTGCGCGCCCCCTACTGGGGAGTGAGCTGGAAAGCGGGGCATGTGCCCTGATGGGAATCGAACCGGCGACCTCCCGGTGCGTGGGAGCCACACTGGCCAGGGCTTAACATAAGGTTTCATTTCTCTGCGATCAATGCCCAGGCTTGGTTGGCATTATCTAAAATAACCTATTCTTTTCTAATTTAATATAAAAATTTGCAAAAGAAAGCCCTTCATTAGAAAGGGTAAGAAAGTGACCGCAGGTCGAAACGCACAACCCGACGGAGCAGTTGCTGCCCGTATGCACCTACCTGCCGGGGTTGCCATCTAAGGGCTGTGCCTTTTCCCAGGTGACCAGAGTGTACCAGACCATGTCCAACCCCCTCAGTAAGCTGTCTGTGCTCAACAATTCCCACACCCACTTCATCCTGGCCGACAACGGCACCCTGGGCAAGTACGGCGCTGAGGTGAAGCTCCGGCGGCAGCTGGAAAAGCACATCTCCCTGCAGAAGATCAACACCAGTAAGTTCTGGGCCAAGGCCACCGACACGGCGCCGGGAGGCGACTGCCCCGGGGGTGGAGAGCCCTGGCCTGGATTCCTTTAGCTCCGTGGAAGATGCCTCGCCTTGACCCTTTCCGTAGCCACCTACAAAGCGCACTCACTGAGCCCCATCATGAGGCTTTGCCCCAGGGCCACAAGGAGGGTCGCCAGGAGAAACAGCCGCGCAGCAGTTGTCATGGTGACGGCACTGCCCACCACACGGTCCAGTGGTTCTTGCTCCCTGGAATTACCATAGTCATTTATTTTATTTTATTTTTTTAAATATATCTTTATTGATTTCAGAGAGGGAGAGAGAGAGACAGAAACATCAATGATGAGAGAGTCACTGATCGAGCCCGCAACCCGGGCCTGTGCCCTGACCAGGATTCGAACCCCGATCGCCTGGATCCCAAGTCGACGCTCAACTGCTGAGCCACGCCTGGCCGGGCCATAGTCATTTTTTTAACGTTCGAACAAAAACCGTTCCTCAAAGACTTCGTTTGATTTCCCCTATGAATTGAGTGTTACGTGGTCATTACATTGAGTATCTTTAGCTCTGGTCTCTTGCCCAGACCAAGACGGGCCAGGTTGAGGGGGGGAACCCCTTGGAGAGGCCACCGCCCAGGCTGGTCCAGGCGGCGCATCCCTTGGGAAGAACTCGGGGTTCCCGCTGGAGAGAAAGGAGTGAATCTCCCCCAGATGAAACGGTGATAACCGCCTGTTAGAACGACAGGAACTGGCCTCACCTCCCGGAATATGTTCAGGCCCCAGCAGCTCTTACTGTCAAACAATTGTCAACAAAGCGACGTGAGAGGGCGTTTGGTTTCTGCCGTGGCTGGTAGGATTTTTGTGAAAGGAAACCTGAACACCGATCGTTGTGGAGCGTGATTCAAGGAACGTCGAGGCGGCGCAGTGGTTCGAGCGGAGACGGCCTGCGATGAGAAGCTGTGGGTCTCCGAGAGTCCGATCCCCTTCAATGAACTGGCTGGCGGCTAAGTGTCTTGTTCTCACGCATTTTTATGTTCCTGGCCGTGTACGTGGTAGGCTGCGCAGCTTCCCCTGCCCACGTGACTGCTGGGCTTCCCTTTGTCATCCTTTGCCCGGGGCTCTGAGTGGGGCAGGGACCGCAAAGGGGTGCTCAGTTGTCACCCCTCACAGCGCGGAGCTTCGGGGGGGCCCAGCCTAAACCGTGAAGAATCAGTCCCACGAAGGGGACTGGGCCGCCGTATTCCTGCAGGTCTGAAACACCAAGCCTGGCTTGGGAACCTCAGAGGCAGGGCCCCTGTCACCTGGGTCCATTTTTCCAGTTTCTCTTAGGTGGGGCCTGGCGCCCAAGCAGACCCCTCCCCCAATGCACGTTTGCGGAACTGAACTTAACTGAGATGATGCTCTAAGTGTTGGTCAAAAGAAATTAAGTCACTTTGCATAGTGAGTCAGCCGGAGAAGGAGGAAGAGAAACCAGGATTCTCAGTGCCAGCTTCTCGCTGCCTTGCCGGCTGCGATGCTAGTGTTTTTCAAGAGATTCATCCAGTTATTTTCATTCCAAAAATCCTGTAGTCCTTATAAGATAGTAGGACAGTGAGCTCTCTCCTCCCGGCCTCCCCCTCCGCCCCCCCGTTTCAAGGAAAACTGAAATCACTTTAGCTTTTTTAGAAAACAGTGTTCCAACAATTAAAATATTTGTTAGAATTCAGCTTTTTCAAGAGAAAGTTTTCAACGTCTCACTTTGGCTGCTCCAAGAATGAAAAAAAAAATTTTAATGGAAAAGACAACAGAAATCTACTTTAATGATCTGCTCAGAATGGCCTCAGTTCATGTATTTAGAAAATCTTTTTTTGAGCCCGGCCGGGCGTGGCTCAGCGGTTGAGCGTCGACCTGGGATCCGGGCGATCGAGGTTCGATTCCCGGTCAGGGCGCATGCCCGGGTTGTGGGCTCGATCAATGACTCTCTCATCATTGATGTTTCTGTCTCTCTCTCTCCCTCTCCCTTCCTTTCTCTGAAATCAATAAAGATATATTTAAAAAATATATATATATTAAAGGAGGCAGGGTGATGACTCGCCATTGGCAGGTGGTCCTCTATGGCTCATGGGGGCTTGGTCGTTGGCCCAGTGTCACACGGCCAATACTCGAGAGGCCAGGAATTGAACTGGGCTCTCCTATCACTGGCCCAGGTCCCCTTTCCCTGCGTCCTTCTTTGGGGATGTCAGACCCTGGGGCAGGGCAGCCAAGGGAGGTGTTTTTTTAGCGAAGGGAATCCTCCAGTGTCTCCCGCATCCCACCTTGAAGTAGCCCGTAAGCCAGGTGAGTTCTACACGGCGCTTAACCACATGTGATTCAGAAAGGTTGCGATTTTAAGACTCTGCTTTTCCCGATCAGGCCGCAATCCAGGGTTTGAATGAAAGCACGAACCCTCACACCATCTGGAACATCCCTCCAGTCATAAGGGCTGTGGTCTCAGGAATGAAAGCGAGGAGTGGCCGGTGGTGATCATGGCCTGATGGCGAGTGTCGTGTGTGTTCCAGGGCTGGGCCAGGGCGTGCCGGTCGTGGGCCTCGTGGTGGAAGGGGGCCCTAACGTCTTCTCCATAGTCCTGGAATACCTCCGAGAAGAGCCCCCGGTGCCCGTGGTGGTCTGCGACGGAAGCGGACGCGCCTCGGACATCCTGTCCTTCGCACACAAATACTGTGAGGAAGGAAGGTAGGGTTTCTGACCTGGTACAAAGGGCGGGGTTTTGTTTTTTGTTTTTTAAATACATCTTTATTGATCTCAGAGAGAGGAAAGGAGAGGGAGAGAGAGAGATAGAAACATCAATGATGGGAGAGTCATTGATCGAGCCCACAACCTGGGCATGTGCCCTGACCGGGAATCGAACCCCGATCGCCTGGATCCCAGGTCGACGCTCAACCGCTGAGCCCCGCCTGGCCGGGCAAGGGCTGGGTTTAAGTGCCTTTCCGTCAGGCAGAGAAGGAAACCCTAGTCCAATCTAAAAACGTTCAATAAGGAATCTTGACGAGGTTCGCCCGTTTCCCAAGGTCGCCATAAGCGGGTGCCGTCGGGACCGTGGTGTCGCCCTGGGGGACACCCTCTCGCAGCCTCACTTTCCCCCATGAGGCCTCGGCAAGCCTGAGATTCAGGACAAGTGTCAGCACCATTTTAGACCCTGGTCCCTCCTTGCCTTCTGTCCCGAGATCCCCTCCAGGGCCAAAGTTTCCAACCAGAGATCCCAGGTGGACGCGGAGCTGTCGGACTGACTCACGGGTCAGACTTGACTTGGGCCGTTTTCCGTCTCTTTGGCTGTTTCCTTTGAACAGGATCATAAATGAGTCCCTCAGGGACCAGCTTCTGGTCACCATTCAGAAAACGTTTAATTACAGCAAGACGCATTCGCACCAGCTGTTTTCGATGATCATGGACTGCATGAAGAAGAAAGAGCTCGTAAGTGTCGCGGGCTTACGCCCAGGCCCACTCCGCAGAGATGCTGGGGTGTCCTCGGGTGTGCGTGACGGGGTCGTTCACGTTTCAGCTCAGCCTCTCCCAAGAGGTGGGTTTCAGATCCACTCCGCCCCGGCCATTACGTCCGCGTGATGGGAGCAGCAGGTGCTCATGCAGGGGAGGGACCCGGGGGCTTTCCGACCTTCGTAGGCATTGGGACATCGCGCCAGTTCTAAGGTTCATGATGCTAATCGGGTCTCGAGGTCTCGGGAGTGACGTATTCCACCCTTTTAGGTGAGCTGGTGAAAGTCTGTCACATCACTTTCCAAATGCAGAACAGGCACTGCGCGGAGATATTGTGGGTTCGGTTCCCCGGCCACCGCGGCAAAGCGAGTCTCTCTCGCGGTAAAGCGAGCCTCAGTCGTTTCGCCGGTGGAGGGTCTTTCCTTCAGTTTGTAAAAAAATGCAACATCTGCGAAGTGCAACGGAGTGACGCGGAATAAAATGAGATACATCTGTAATGATTTCCGCTCCTTGCCTCCTCCATTGTGCCTATAAGGAAAAGGCATCCTCGACGCGCGCCTAAGGGAGCCCCCTGAAAATCCTAAACCTACAAATTTCCTACAAATGCAGGCGCACTTCAGAGATCCTGCGGGTGGGGTTTCAGGCCACTGCAATAAAGCAAATACTGCAATAAAGCGAGCCACACAAATTTCCCCCCAGTGCATTAAAAAAGTCCTGTTTACACCCCAAAAAACAATGTATGTGCCTCAATGGAAAAAATACTTAATTGCTAAAAAACGCTGACCATTATCTGAGCCTCCTGCAAAGTCGCAATCTTTTATTTTTTTATTATTTTTATTTTAAATATATCTTTATTGATTTCAGAGAAAGGAAGGGAGAGGGAGAGAGAGATAGAAACATCAATGATGAGAGAGTCATTGATCGAGCCCGCAACCCGGGCATGTGCCCTGACCAGGGAATCAAACCCCGATCGCCTGGATCCCAGGTCGATGCTCAACCGCTGAGCCCCGCCCGGCCGGGCAGTCGCAGTCTTTTAGCTGATTGCCTTCCGTCTGTAAGCACCGTACCTGCAGCACACAGTAAAATGAGGCATGCTTGCATATCCGACCTGAGCAGAAATGATTCGTCACCTCCCAGAGCAATTTAGATATTGGAGGGCAGCTTCTGCCCGAGCAGATGGAGTCAGGCATGAAATGAGAAGCCAGGCAAGCGTGCGGAGTTGGGACGAGCGCCCCGGGAACCGGAGGCGCCGGGTATAAAAATGGCTTTGCTCTCAGCACCCCTGCCGGGTGTGCGTGTCGGTCTCTGTGGTCCTTTTTAAAAAAAAACACAACAACACCCCCCAGTGCTCCCCCTTGTTGCCGGGTTTGCTTTACTCGGCCTTTTCACGGTTAACGTGTTTTCAGGTCACTGTGTTTCGGATGGGAGCGGAGGGGCAGCAGGACATGGAGATGGCGATTTTAACTGCCCTGCTGAAAGGTGAGCCCCGGGAGATGGTGGCTCCGTTCTCTCCGCGCTGGTCATGGTCTCCTCCTGCCGGGAACGGTCTGTTGGTGGCAGAGCCCCCAGCTTTTGTAGGTGCCCGTGGACGTGACGGGCTGAAGTCCGAACCAGTTTCCGTCTGCGACCAGTTCGCTGAGGGTTTCAGCTCCTGGAGGGTAAACGCGAATGGTTTCGGTGTTTTGGGTTTTTTTTGCAATCACTGCGTTCTGCGGTGCCCTGCCCAATTTTCCCGTCTCTCTCCCAATGACAGGCTGCAACCTGGCCACTCACAGGGCGGCTTGGGGACACATGCCTCCTGCCTGCCTTTGGCTAGACTGGGACCAGCCCAGAGGGTGTCGCCATCTGGGCTGGTCTTTCTGTGGCGGCTCCTCCAGCCGAGAGGGGCAGCCCCTGTCGGCCTGTCCTGGCAGGTGTCTGGTGGTCCCAGGGCTCCAGATAAGAGTCCTGGAATCACCGGGTTCCTCCTGTCCCAAGGAGACCACGTGGAGGTCGCCAGGCAGCCCTTGAGCCTGAGTGGCCGGTCACTCCGGGGCAAGAGGAAAGGCAGCAAAGGCTTAGTTCCAGACTCGGGGGCGGGGGGCCTGGGAGCCTGTGCTCACCGCCCAGCACCCGAGGGGCTCGGAGAACATCGGCTCCTCTCTCGCCTTTCCAGGAACGAATGCATCAGCCCCGGACCAGCTGAGCCTTGCACTGGCCTGGAACCGCGTGGACATAGCACGAAGCCAGATCTTTGTCTTCGGGCCCCACTGGCCGGTGAGACTGAGCGTTTTCCAATCCATCCCCTTCATCCTGACTCTGTCCAGATGACGCATTGTGCGTGCTCTCCTGTGACGCGGTCCCGGGAGATGTGCCGGGGTTTCCGATGATTCAGCCCGTGATCCGAATGGGTTACTCGGAGACGTTGCTGTTTAACCTCAAAGAGCCAGGAGGGGGGAAGAGCCACCAGCACTGATCACACTCGAACGAGCGCTCTTGGAGAAACGACCACCAGATATTCCAGCGTGGCTGGTGGAGTGGCTGTTTACCCTTTGAAAGAAAAGAATGAAAAGAGCTCATTGAAATTAAATATAATGATTGCATTGAGAGCACTGGTTTTTCTTTTTAAAATTTTTTTTTTTAAATGTATCTTTATTGATTTCAGAGAGAGGAAGGGAGAGGGAGAGAGAGAGATAGAAACATCAATGATGAGAGAGTCATTGATCGAGCCCGCAACCCGGGCATGTGCCCTGACCGGGAATCGAACCCCGATCGCCTGGATCCCAGGTCGACGCTCAACCGCTGAGCCACGCCCGGCCAGCCAGCCACTAGTTTTTCAAACTCTTCCGTGAAACCCTGGTGGCCTAGAGAACTCTGTGTGTGTGCGCATGTGCACATGTACTCACTTTTGCATGAGTGCATGTGTGTGCTAACGTGTGCATATGTATGCACATGGGTGCACGTGTGCATGCATGCAGCGGTGAGGTCCTCTTGGGACCGCAAGCCCTAACGTTCCCCCCAATTCTGCTTGCCGTGGACTGCAGCCCCTGGGAAGCCTGGCCCCCCCGGCGGACAGCAAGGCCACGGAGAGGGAGAAGCAGCCACCCACGGCCACCACCAAGGGGGGCAGAGGGAAAGGAAGAGGCAAGAAGAAAGGGAAGGGGAGAGAGGAAGCAGAGGAAGAAACCGACCCCCGGAAGATCGAGCTGCTGAACTGGGTATGCGGGGAGCCTCCGCTTCCATTTCTGGGGATCATCGAGGCCGTGGAGCCCACCCCACTCTTCCTCGAAGGGAAGGGGCACTTCTGGGTGTCTCTGCTCCGGCCCCCCTGGACCCTGAGTCCTGGGAGGCCTCGGGGGAGCGTTGACGGGACGGCGTCAGTGTCCCGAACGGCAGTGTCACCTTCGCTGCGAGGCAGCTGCCAGGTTGTCGCAAATGCAAACGTTCCTGCTTCGGGGAGATAAAGCCGCTGAGAGTGGGGCTGGGTCATGGGGCTGAGCAGCAGGTTTCTCTGCCTGGCAGACACGCGCGGACGCTCGATGCGTGAAAATGTGGGAAACACGCCCGTGATTACTGAACAGGACACGCAGCCTGAGCGTGGGTGGGGGTGAAGGTAACAGCGCCGGGTGACAGGACACAGGCCAGACAGGACGCCAGGCCTCTGCGGTGACGTGTCACTGCGCTGTCCCTGTCCCTGGCGGCGCGGCGCCCGCCCGCCCGCTCAGTCCCACCCGGCGGCCGCACAGGGAACAAACTCCCTCCAGCGAGCCTTCCCCTTACCGCGGGCTGCGGGGTCCATCGTTTCTGCAGGACAGAAACGTGAGTAATGTATAAAATAGCACCGTCTGCCACCTCAGCTGACGCTGCGCCCGGAGGTGGGAGCTCGGAGGTTCAAATACTAATCGCGCTTTTATTTCGAACAGAGCCGCAGCTGATGTGGGTTTTCTTCCTCGTGTCTTAAAAACACAAAGATAATCAAGTATTTTCATGAAAAACAAAACTGGAAACTGGAGACAGCGGTGGCAGCTTGGCTGTCATTCTGAATGGTCTCCCATTCGCTTTAAAGGGGAGAGAGTCACTTATTTCTCTCCTTTTATCAAACTCGGGTCGCCGTGGGTCTGGCGTCGAGAGGCCAACCTGATGAGAACGGGGAGGGGAGGTGGGTGCGTGTTCACGGAAGAGCAGAGAGGGCCCTGCTCTGAAAGCCCTGGGACCTGGGGGTCAGGACGCGCTCCCCGAGGTGCTCCCGCCCGCCTCCCCTCCTGCAGGTGAACGCTTTGGAACAAGCCATGCTGGACGCCTTAGTCTTAGACCGTGTGGACTTTGTGAAGCTCCTGATCGAAAACGGAGTCAACATGCATCACTTCCTCACCATCCCGAGGCTGGAGGAGCTTTACAACACGGTGAGTGCTCCGGACGGGGCGCCCGGGGGAGGCAGCCGCCCGGTGCACCGATCACCGGCGCGAATTGCGCGTAAAAGAGCACAGAATTATTGAAATGTCGTTTCAGCTGGGAGGGCTGCCTTTTAATTGATTTATCAGAGAGGGAAAGAGAGAGAGAACATAAGATCCCCTAACCAGGGATCGAGCCCGAAACCCTGGCACGTGCCTTGGCCTGTGGGTGCGAAGGCTGACACTCTAACCACTGAGCCACACCAGCCGGGCCTGGAATGGAAGCCTTTGGATGAACTCCTCTTGGCTTAGAGCCCAACAATGGGAATTTGGGGGAATTTACATTTCCTTGCCCCATCCTAAAATTTTAAATAGCAGGAATGTCCTCGGCACCAAAACCTGGTGCCTTTTGAGCACGAGGCTGCAACATCAGAAGATGCCCTCTAAGAAAAGACACTCAGTGAAACGTATTGAACATGCACGAACGCGTCGGATGCTCCTAACCAAGACTAGTCCTGGCGTCAAAGAGACAGGCCGACAGCGGGTCACCGACCAGCTCTCACAATCCGTCGGTTCTGTAGAGCAGGGTAAGGACTTTGCTCCGAGGGGCCGAGGAAACCACGGTTAACACGGCTGGATGGCTTGTCTTTCAGAGGCTGGGCCCACCGAACACTCTTCATCTGCTGGTCAGAGACGTGAAGAAGGTCAGTCTGCTGTTTCATATCCCTACCCGTGGGCATTTCTCAAAAACATATTTTTTAAATGCATTTTCCAATTACAGGTAGCGTGCAATATTAGTTTCAGGTGTACAACAGCTATTAGACATTTATATATCATACGGAGTGAACACCACCTGGCACCACACACAGTTATTATGATATTATTGACTATATTCCCTATGTGTTTTTTTGTGTGTGTTTTTTTGTAATATATCTTTATTGATTTCAGAGAGAGGAAAGGAGAGGGACAGAGAGAGATAGAAACATCAATGATGAGAGAGTCATTGATCAGGCCCGCAACCGGGCATGTGCCCTGACCGGGAATCGAACCCCGATCACCTGAATCCTAGGTTGACGCTCAACCGCTGAGCCACGCCCGGCCGGGCTATATTCCCTATGTGGTATACGTCCCTGTGACTGTTTTTCTAGCTGGCGATCTGGACTTCTCAAGAAGACATTTTATAAAGCAGTTTTTAAATTTCTAAAACGTGCACCAGTCTCGTTGGCGGCCTAAGAAATAATGAACCCCGCTCTTCGTAAAAAGAGTTTACTTACACTAAAAAAAATAACATTTTTTAAGTTTTATGTTCATCCTCATACATGACGGGCTTGTGCTGAATGAGCGATGGGGGGTTGGCACCGTGACCGAGGCCGGGGCAGCAGCCGTGGGAGGGCCCACCTTACTGCGGACCCGGCCGCCGTCTGTCCACGCGGCCAGTGTTCTGTGTCTGCATTAAGACCTGTCACTCCGCCTCTTTCCCAAGTGCCAGCGGGACGTGCCTGTGTCTCTCTGTGCGTTGTGGGGATCGGAGCAGTTGTCCGTGGCCCTCTGTTCCCTCATCAGAAAGCAATAGATGCTGCTGCTAAGTGCTGACAAGCACTGTGTTCTTGGAGGATCCCGTCCGCTCGCTCTCTCGCCACAGTATTTCCTCAGTCCCGTGGCCTCAGGCTGAAGGGTCGGATGGGTTAACGTAGGAGTGATTCGTTTTCCCAGAATACGGCGGTCCCTGGCATGCTAGGTGTGGAATGCGCACGCGTTCATAGGCTCGGAGAAACTGACTCAGATGAGACAATAGACGATGGAGTCCTTGGTATCCGGTCACGTGTCATACAAATTCCTAGTTCCCATAACGGGAGACAGTCACTGGATCAGAACCGAATCCACGGATCTGGGAACCCGCAGGGACCCATGCCCTCTTTTTCGGCATAAGGAACTGACTCCCCGGAGTTCTTAGACGGGGAAGTGCCAACATTCAAAAGCTACAGCTCCCGAAGCTCAGACCCGACCATTTCTCACCCAAATGGCTTCAGTATCTTCGCCCCTCATCTAGTCCCCTCCCTCCCACTGTCCCCGGTCACAGGACCCCACGTAAACCCTCCAGAGTCTCATGAGCTCCAAGCTCCTTCCAAGAACCTGCACCCCTGGGCCCGGCCACGTCCACATGCCTGCTCGCCCATCACGGCCCCACCACAGGGCACCGTGGGAAGCTGTCAGGAGAGAAGCCCAGCCCCAGGGGTAGCCCCGCTCCCATGGCCTCCCACAGGGCCACCTTCCTGTCCCGCTGGTCACTCCTTCTGCCTGAAATCTGGACTCCAGCCCCGGATGCTGGCTTTCGCCCTGCGAGCATCTGGCAAAGCACCTTCTCAGCACAGCCCATCTGCATTGACAAAGGCTCAGACCATCTGCGCGATGAATTCCCAGGGGTCACACACACCGCAGGCCATGGTGTCTGAGTCCAGTCCCGGACCTGCCAGCATCCTGGGTTTCTCACTCTGCTCCCTGGGAAATTCAATCCATCCTGTGGGCGTGGCTTAGCCTGTCATCTCCCTGTCCCGTGGAAACAGACTTGAGTATTGTTTGATGGCCCTTTGTGACGCTGGCACCCGAGGGGTGGCCAGGAGTGACCGCTCAGGCCTGCGGGGCGCGATGGGTGACATCCACGCTGCTCATTGCTGAGACTCCGCCTCTTCTCTTCCAGGGCAACCTGCCTCCGGACTACCACATCAGCCTCATAGACATCGGGCTGGTGCTGGAGTACCTCATGGGCGGCGCCTACCGCTGCAACTACACCCGCAAGAGCTTCCGCACCCTCTACAACAGCCTGTTTGGACCCAAGAGGGTAGAACTGAGTGACCGTGTGCCGTGGTCTGTGGCTCCTTGTTGTCTTTTCTGATCACTCCGCCTGTTCTAAGTCAAGCTCATCCCCCGTCCCCAAGCCCACCTGCCCTTCCTCCTGCAGGGACTCGGGTGGGAGGCCTTTATCCTGCGCAAGTCAGGCCGCTCAGCCCGTCGGCTGCATCTGCCCCCTGTCCTTTGTCCACAAGTGGCCATCCTTCTGGGTTCCTTGGTTTCTATCCCCCTTTGTCCCACCACTGGAAGGACCCTACTCCTCCAAAGCCAGGGACAGGCCAGTGTACCCCCAGCTTGGAAGCTCCCAGTCGCCCGAGGAATCACAGCCAAGATCACTGTTGTGGCATCTAAGGCTCTGATAGCCTCATGGTCATTCCGCCCTGTCACGGGGAACCGTGGACCTTAGCCGAAGTCCAGTTGCATGACTGTGCCGGCCATGTCTTCTTCTCCTCGATCAAAATCCCTCGCTTAGTACAAGCCCAACTCAGACGTCAGATCTGCCGTGAAGCCCCCTTGCCCCACGCTTACAGCCCGTGGCCGTGTCTGTGTTTCTGTGAGTGAACGTCTGTGGCTCCTGCTGGGTAAGGGCCCTGTGCCTGCACACGCTTCTCCTCACCTGAGTTCGGCTGGAGGGAGCCGAGTTTCCATATTAGAGCATTTCCACCCTTGGCTGTTGTCCTTAATGGTTAACCTGCTAATGTGCTACTAACGTTAGTGATCTCGTCGCACTGATTTTTTTCTCTCCCCTTTCCTTACGCAGCCTAAAGCGCTTAAGCTTCTGGGAATGGAAGTAAGTCGGTTCGTGTTCAATGGTTGACGATGTCTTGGTCAAATACACGTAGCATCTTGGTTTTGAACTTGTTCAACAAAACACTGAACGAATGTCTCCCACGAATGAATTCACTGCACTAGGCACACTAAGTTGACTTAGATGATTCAGTCAAATTCTATAAAGTAATCACAGACGTCTTAAAAAGTTAGATGCTCCCAGTTCATTTGAGGGAATTAGCGAAACCAGGGTTTCAAAAGCAGACAAAGATTAAACCGTAAAACCTAGACAGTAATGAGGCTTACATACACAAAAACCATAAAGAACACTGAAAGAAATTCAGTGTTTTCCATTTTAAGAATAGCTGCTTCTATTTATTATTATTAATTATTACTATTTAATATATCTTTATTGATTTCAGAGAGAGGAAGGGAGAGGGAGAGGGAGAGAAACATCAATGATGAGTCATTGATCGGCTGCCTCCTGCTCGCCCCCTGCTGGGGATCGAGGAGCCTGCACCCTGGGCCTGTGCCCTGCCCGGGAATCGAACCTTGATCTCCTGGATCCTAGGTCGATGCTCAACCGCTGAGCCACACCTCCGTGGGCTATTATTATTTTTTAATTCTCACCTGAGGATATGTGTATTGATTTGAGTGAGAGAGGAAGGGAGAGAGAGAAACACCTATCAGTTGCCTCCCACATGCACCCTGACTGGGGATCAAACCTGAAACCTTTTGGTGCTGCTTTTATTTTTATTTATAATTTCCTCTTTAATCCAAGAGTTATTTATAAGCATCTTTTAACTTTTCCAGGTAAAGACTTTTATGTCATTCTCCCACTGTGGTTATTTTCTAATTTTACTCCTTGAATGTAGACTAACGTGATTTCTGATGCCTGGAATTCGTCGAGATAGAAAATCCCAAAGGAACTGGGGTTTAACGCCTGGCTGGTTTTCGTTAATGATTCACGTGTGTTGGAAACAAAAGCGTATGCTCAGTTTGTTGGGTACAATCCTTATACTTACTTATTATTAATCCCTATTTACGATCCTTAGACTTACCTGTCTGATCAAACGTGGTGATTACGTTACTCCCTTTGCTTCTATAGTCACTATTTTTTTTTCAAGTTCATTTCTAAGTGACATGCAGTTAGAGACTCACTGCGATCTCTCTTCATAGTTCCTATTCCTGTCTTCTGTCGTCTTCTTGGGTGGTTTCTCTTACTTCTTTTTGAATTGTGGCAGTTCTTTGCATTTTAGGGGAATTAACCCTTGTTGGCTATATTTTCTCTCTAGCAATCTTTAAATTACTTTAAGAGAATTTGCATACAGTTAATATCTTTATAGTATTCTATATTATTATTATTATATTATCTTTAATTCTCACCCAAGGAGAGAGGGAGAGAACCATCAATGTGAGAGAGACACATCGATTGGCTGCCTCCCTCACGCACCCTCCCGGGGCTGGGGATTGAGCCTGCAACCGGGGTATGTGCTCTTGGACGGAATTGAACTCGGGACCCTCCAGTGCTCAGGCCGATGCTCTAACCACTGAGCAACACTGGCTCAGGCCATATTCTATGTTATTGAAAGGTAGGTTTCGAAGGGCTTCTGTTTTACATTTTATGAGCCATTAATGGCTTTTTATTTTTTTTGATAAATTCTTGAAAATAAAGCTAAGTGTATTTTTAAGTTTCTGTAGTGTGAGTTTTTAACCTATGTAGATCAACATTCCCTAAGTTACCATAAATATAGTTTTACTGGGACAAATTAGAAAATCATAACAAAAACATTTAAATCAGGAGCAGGATCTAACAGTTTCAGTAATCCTTACCCAAGGATATTTTTTCCATTGATTTTTAGAGAGAGTGGAAGGGAGGGGAGGGGGGGAGAGAGGGGAAAAAACACATCAGTGTGAGAGAGACACATCCATTGGTTGCCTCCTGCACGCCCCCGACTGGGGATCGAGCCTGCAACCTGGGCATGTGCCCTGACCAGGAATCGAACCCCGATCACCTGGATCCTAGGTTGATGCTCAACCGCTGAGCCACACTTGGCTGGGCAAGACATATTTTTTTAAAAAACGCTATTGGAAGAGTTCCCCGAGGAAAGAAACTGTAGATTTTCTCTCCCCTGGTACTTTTTGTATGTAAGTGTGTTTTTGTTGCTATTGTTTTAATTTTGCAGTATCTCCTAGGTTCTTTTTTTTTGTTTTTTTTTTAATATACATGTCTTTATTGATTTCAGAGAGAGGAAGGGAGAGAGAGAGAGAGAGAGTGAGAGAGAGAGAGAAACATCAATGATGAGTCATTGATGGGCTGCCTCTCACATGCCCCCTGCTGGGGACCAAGGAGCCTGCACCCCAGGCATGTGCCCTGACCCGGAATCGAACTGCGATCTCCTGGATCCTAGGTCGATGTTCAACCGCTGAGCCACACCAGCCGGGCTTCTAGGATTTTTAAAGGCTTTGGGAAGACACCCCCACCCCAGGGGTACAAGTTCTTCCAACAGTAGCAGCCTTTCCACCTGTTCCCATGGTTTACTCTGCGTAATAACCAGGAGCATCTTTTCAGAAGGATCAACACGCCGAGTAGAAACCGCAGATGTCCCTGAGAAGTCTCTTTATTCTGGTCACCCCAAAATGCTTCGTGGCACCTTTACAGCAGAGCTGTGGAAAACATGCTTTTCTACCCTCAGGATGATGAGCCCCCAGCCAAAGGGAAGAAGAAAAAGATGAAGAAAGAGGAGGAAATTGACATCACCATGGACGACCCGGCCGTGAGCCGCTTCCGGTACCCCTTCCACGAGCTGATGGTGTGGGCCGTGCTCATGAAGCGCCAGAAGATGGCCGTCTTCCTGTGGCGGCGGGGCGAGGAGAGCATGGCCAAGGCCCTGGTGGCCTGCAAGCTCTATAAGTCCATGGCCCATGAGTGCTCCGAGAGCGAGCTGGTGGACGACATCTCCCAGGACTTGGACAACAACTCCAAGTTAGTGTCCCGAGGGAACAGAGGGACGGGGAGAGACTGCTGTCCCGAGTCCCAGTCCCTTTGCGGGGAGGGGTGGCACCTGGATTTCTCACTTGGAACAGTTACATTGAAAGCTTTTTCATAAATCGCTTTCTTCAGCATGTTGGTATTTTTCCTTCTGCCTAAGAGAAGTGTTTCTGGACGGTCATTGGTTTTGTCCATTGGTTTCTCATGCAAACGATTGAAACACAATTTTTTAAAATCCTCACCAAGGATAGGTTTTTCATTGGTTCTGGAGGGGTGGGAGAGAGAGAAATGCTGATGTGAGAGAGAAACATTAATCAGTTTCCTCTCAGACGCCCCAACCAGGGGGAGTGGGTATTGAACCTGCAACCTGGGTTTGTGCCCTGACTGGGAATTGAACGTTCCACCTTTTGGTGCACGGGATGGCTCTCTAACCAACTGAGCCAACAGCAAGGGCTCCCCCTGGAGTTTTTAACTCTCAGACTTGTCCTGACTGAGCCCCAGCAATTAGTCAATTACAGGTCAGATTTTCCTCCCCAGGGCTGGTGGTTTCTGCTCTGGTAAACTGTGGTTCAAATGGATCACACCAGTATGACCAGCACCCAGATCAAGACACAGGACCTTGCCTGCACCTGGGAGCCTAGTGGTGTCCCCTCTCAGTGTCCACCTGTCCCCTCCACAAAGGGTAGCCACCCTTCTGATTTCCAACCCCACAGGGCCTTTGTTGTTCTTTCTAATCTACACCCCTGTCCTGGGAACACATGAGGGAAGGGACTTTGTCTTCTCATCTCTGTGTTTCTGGGGCCTGAGGGGCAATTTGGGGTCAACCTAAAGCTCCATTTGCAGCATGAAGCAGCCATCCCCCAACATGACTGAGCACAGAGTCCCAGCTGTTCCCTTCTGGGGACAAACCCCGTGAGCTTTAAGGATTTCCGTGGCTCTGTCGTGTCTCTGTGGCCAAGTCTCTCTAACAAAAAATCTGTGGCCACTGTGGCTTCAGCCCCAATTCCATTTCCTTCTGTCCAGAGACTTTGGCCAGCTGGCTGTTGAGCTGCTGGACCAGTCCTATAAGCACGATGAACAGATTGCCATGAAACTGCTCACCTACGAGCTGAAAAACTGGAGCAACTCAACCTGCCTCAAGCTGGCTGTCGCGGCCAAACACCGAGACTTCATCGCTCACACCTGCAGCCAGATGCTGCTGACTGACATGTGGATGGGGAGGCTGCGAGTGAGGAAGAGCCCCGGCCTAAAGGTATGTGTGACGTGCTATCAGACTGGTAAGGATGACACAGTGACTAGTGACACCTGTGAGCCCTTATTCTCTACTTGGCTGAGCTAAGCACTTACTGTCGATTATTTCATTTACGCCTCTGAACAACCCCACGAGGGAGATGCTGTGATAACCCTTGTCTTGCAGATGGAGAACCTGAAAATTCGGGATTAAGTGACTTGCCTAGTATGTGACTTAGTAAGGTGCGAGTCCAGGACCTGAACCCAGGTGGTCTGAGGCCAGAGCCTGACCTGATCAGTGGGCCTGGCTTACAGAGCTTGGCAGCCACCTTGATAAAAATGACAAGGTTTTCTATGAGCTAGGGCATCCTTTTGCTATCTAGACTGAGCCCAATGAAGTCCTCCTTTTGTAAGTCACATTTGTTTTCCAATCTAAGTGGAAAACACATTTGTTGGCCCATCTAAGTGATTTCTAGATAAAATATTTTCGGCCTACTTCACTAGAAGTAATTTTGTATGTTATTTATTTATTTTTATTTACTTTGTTATTATATTTTAATCTAAAGATTTACCTGCTTTGAAACTTCACATATGATCTTTTGCTTCATAAGTCAGGATTCCACACAGTGCTGCTTGCTGTTCACCCAAAAAAATTGGGTGGACCTTCTTATACTTTTCTGCGATTCTGCCAATGTGTGACCAAAATGCATATTCAGCTGCCTGCCACAATGAAAGCCAAACTTGTGAGACAGGTATTTGTGCAAAAGAAAAGAGGTTTATTCAGGTGCAGCAACCTGGGAGAATGGTGGCTCCCATCCTAAGGACAACCCCCCCTTTCTGCTTAAGCCCCCTATTCTTACAAGGATAGGGAGGGGAGGGCTTTTTTTTAAATCGAATTATCTTGCTAGCTTTTGGTGTGCTTGGGCTCTGTCCATTCATTTTTCTAGCTTTCGGTGAGCTCAGTGTAAGAACCTCCCCTGCACCATTCTTGGCCAATGGGGCCAATCCCTGACTGTATATGAACCCAACCAAATAAGCCACAGAACACAGGAGCAGGGATAAACCTGTTCCAGGGCCGTGAGGTTATTGAGTAATGTTGAAGGTTATCACTTAAAAATTTTTCCTATACTGAGAAAATTTTGAGAATCAACATAGCTTAAAAATCCATTTTTCTCATCAACCATAGGTCATAATGGGGATTCTTCTGCCCCCCACCATCTTGTTTTTGGAATTTCGAACCTATGATGACTTCTCTTATCAAACATCCAAAGAAAACGAAGATGGCAAAGACAAAGAAGAAGAGACTCCGGTCAGTGTTACCCTTGATTATACAAGGATCGGTTTGCTCTCATTCTCAAAATCATTCAGACTCCCCTTACCCTGAATTTAGAAACTTCAATAATTGAGAACATTTTTATAATTATTTTTAAAGGCGCCTGTCTGTTAACTATTGTGCTGGGGAGTGTTGTGTTTCCCACTCAGCAACCTGCCTGCTGTGTTTTCCAGGACGCGAATGCAGACGCTGGCTCGAGAAAGGGAGATGAGGAGAGTGAACACAAAAAGCAACGGAGTATCCCCATTGGGACGAAGATCTGCGAGTTCTACAACGCTCCCATTGTCAAGTTCTGGTTCTACACAGTGAGGCCTCCCCTTAGCCTTTGCCATGTAGCCTGCTTTGAACAGTGAGATACGTTAGAACTGAGAACAATGTCAAGGCTGGAAGGGAGCTAGACTTCGGGTGGCAAGCACACAACCGAACATACACCTGAAATCTACGTAATGTTATTAACCCCTGTTACCTCAAGATAGTTAAGTTTTATTTATTTATTTATTATATCTTTATTGATTTCAGAGAGGAAAGGAGAGGGAGAGAGAGAGAAACATCAATGATGAGAGAGTCATTGACCGGCTGCCTCCTGCACACCCCCTGCTGGGGATCGAGCCCGCAACCCGGGCATGTGCCCAGGAATCGAACCTGGATCGCCTGGATCCTAGGTTGATGCTCAACCGCTAAGCCACACCCGGCCGGGCAAAACAGTTAAGTTTTAAAAAAGAAAAAATGTCAAGGGCTTTAAAGAGCCTTTAAAATTCACTGCATTAAAGTGAATTGTGAAAACGAAACTGGAGCTAATTCAGATCCTCGCCTGAAATTGGGTCTATCTTGCCGTATATGTTATATAGGGATGTGGCCATCCTAGCCCCAAATTCACCATTTCATAAAGCAGAATAGTCACATTCTATTTGCTTAAGGTAAAGAATTGTTTAAATGGTGTTAGTAGTACCAACTTAGAAAAATGTAATTTTATTTAAAAATAAACAGGGATGACTAGTGATTGCAGAGGCAAACCCACAGATGCCATGTCTCGTGAAATTGGCAGGGTGACTAGACGAGTGTGGCTGAACCTGGGCCCTTAGCTCCTAGAATGAGGGAGCAAACCGCGGCCCCTCCACTCTTCAGTGTGCACCACACTGGCCCGCGTGGCCACATTTTCCTCTCGCCCCCTTTGGTGGCCGCCTCCCTGTATCTCACCCCTCACTCCCATCTCCACATCTTTTCTTTTTTTTTGCCACAAACACATGGTCACTTTCGTCAGTGCTAGTTGAGTGGACTTGGGGCGGCTCTGTGTGCCTGGGCAGTCATCTCATTGTCTTCTCTTCAAACCTCCCACCCCCATCAGCAGTGGAAAGATTCAAGAGGGAAATTTGGGAGGCACGGAGGAATAAATAACCTTGTCCAATTTCCTGGAATGTAGAAGACATACCAGGAAACTATCAAAAATTTCCTGTTGATCATAATTTTGTGCTCTTTCCTGATTTCCCCAGGAGGGTGACTGTAGCTACAAATATGTCTTCATTTAGAAAATGACATGTCAGCACCCACATCATGCGAAAGTACAAAATGCCTTCTCCTGGCCGTAGGTTCTCTTCCTACGCTGGGGATGTGGCTGGAAGAGTTCCTCTAAATGAGTCAGCCCAGCCCAGCCGGAGTGGCTCAGTTGGTTGGGCTTTGTCCCATGCGCCAGGAGGTCACTGGGTTGATTCCTGGTCAGGGCACATGCCCGGGTTGCAGGCTCAACCCCCAGTAGGGGGCATGCAGGAGGCAGCCAATATATGTTTCTCACACCAAAGTTGCTCTCTCGCTCTCTCCCCCCTTCCTCTCTCTCTAAAATCAATAAAAACATTTATAAATAAATGAGTCAGCCTAGTTGGAAATGAAAATTGGTTTTAGAAGATGCATCGAGTGGAAACTAGGGTTCCAGGCTTCCTTCCGGGGTGGGCTGTCCCCCCGGCCGCTGCTCACAGTTCTCCTGTCTTTCAGATCTCGTACTTGGGCTACCTGCTGCTATTCAACTATGTCATCCTGGTGCGCATGGAGCGCTGGCCTTGCCTCCAGGAGTGGATTGTCATCTCCTACATCGTGACCCTGGCGCTGGAGAAAATCCGAGAGGCAAGTGCTCCCACACACCACCCCTCCCCCAGCCCCCCAGCC